GGAGGAGCAAAGCCAGTCGTGAGCAGTGGCTGGGATCACCTCTCGTGGATGCTGTGGAAATGCCAGTGAACTTCCAGTATTTCCCGCAAGATGATCGAACCTAATTGCCGCTGTTCCATTTTAAATTTAAGAATGAGTAGATGCTGGGCGGTTAATATACGTTACCTCTGCTGATCTCTACAGGAGCCCTGAGCAGAGGTGTTAGGTCCACCAGTTAACAGAGGAGCAAACAGAGGCTCTGGGCGGGGTGGCTGAATGACTGGCCCAGTTCCCAGCTAGCCCACCTGGGAGCCAGGATTCCGCCTGGGCGTGCCTGACTCCGGGGCCCATGTGACACTGCTCTCTGGGAGTTCTTGAACAGAGAAAGGGCATCCATCAGGCGAGGGAGAGCGATGGGAGGAGCTCCCAACCACAGCAGCAGGGGCAGGAGGGGAGGGGGCTGCAGAGACACACAGGAGGCCTCCTGTTAGGAACCTTCTTTCCGACCATCCCCTGAGGCTTTCCATTTGCAACCTTTCCTCCTCTTAGGCAGCAGTGACACCAGATCAGTGTTAAGGGCTGCAAACCCCATCTCCCTCCTCCTCCAGGAGAATCGGGTTGTTAATAATAATAGCTACTCCGTGCCAGGCCGCCTGCTAAGTTAAGCACCACCTTTGAAAAATCCTCACAACATTCCTAGGAGGTAAGTAAGTAGTCTCCCCGCATTTGACAGCCAGGGAGGTGGAGGATGCTGGAATTCAGGAACGTCTTCAAGGTCACAAAGCCTCAGGTGCCAGTGCTCACATCCCGTCCAGGCTCTCTGACTCTGAGGGCCGGCGGGACTCCTACCACCGGGTTCTAGCAGACAGGGGCTGGGGGTCGGTGGCCACGTGGCCCTTCCATCTTCGCTGGAACACAGAAAGGGCTGGGTGTCCTCACTTTCCCTGGGAAAAGGCTCTCAAACAGCGCCCACTTGGGGAGCCTCCTACACGCGGGCTGGCCCCAGACAGGTCCGGAATCCTCTCCAGCATTCCGGGTTGGACAGCATCTTGGGCTCCCAGCGCGAGGGCCGAGTCGGTGCACCGAGAGAGGTTCCCGGGCTCTGGAGGGTGGGAGCGCCAGGCACTGCTGCGCCTGCGGCTCTGCGCCCAGGTCCCTATTTTTCTCCCAGAGGTCTGTCTGCTCCTCTGGTGGCCATGGGAAGGAGGAGGGAGGGAGAAGGGAGGAGGGAGAGGGCGCCCTGCTCCTGGGCCGCCGAGGCCCTGGAGGCTTTGTGTGTACGGAACTGGATTCCCCCCTCCCGTCCCCGCCTCCCGTTCCCGCTTTCCTTCCCCCAGACCGAAGTCCCAGTAGAGTATCCAGCAATTAGCACGCGAGGAGGGGGTGGACGGCGGCGGCGGCGGGCAGGAGTGGGGGCGGCGAGACCCCCCTCCAGCTCCGGGATCGGCCGGGCGCTCGCGTCTGCGCTGCCTTCGTGCGCCACCTACCGGCTGCCCGGGGTCGCTGCGGCGCGCGCCGAAGCTGTTCCTAGGCAGATCTTGATCTCCGTGGACAATAGACAATGGGATTTTTTTTTTTTTTTGGAACAATGATTTATTTCGGGGGAGGGGGGATGGGAACAAGGAGGAAGGAGGGAGGAGGAAGCAGCAGTGTGTTTGTCATCGCTTTAGAAAAAAAAAAATCTCTGTTCCCTCACTGTTTCTGCATATCCATTATATGGAGGACAAAAGAATCCCGTTCTGGAACAACAAAGCCAGGGGAAATGTTTTCCGTGGCTGACATTTAATTGTGTGCGCGAGGTGCTACATGATCGTGGAGGGAGACTGCAGGACGGACGAGGCACCGCTTGGCTCTCAAGGCTGACTGCGTTTTATGGTGTGCGCTTTCTTTTCTCGCGCCTCGTTGTACACGGCCTCATCCATCCCTGCTCAGGGCTAGCGTCACAGGGTTCTCCCTTTCTGTATAGTTTTCCAGCCCATCCTGAGGACTGCGTGCGGATTATTTTCTCACCACCTGCTGGGTCTATTCTTTTACAGCTCCAGGGGTAACCAGGCCTCACAATCTCCCACACCTTTCCTACTGATTTTTAGAAGCTGTTAGGGACGCTGGAGGGACACCTGGCCCACACCACTCATTTTACAGAAGAAGAGGAAGAGTCCCTTGTCCAAAGTCACACACAGAGATGGAGAGGGAGGCTCGGCCAGAATCCCGTTTCCTAATCCCAGGTTGCTGTGACCTGTGCAATGTCCTGATTGCTGACACCCCCTGACCTGCTCACCCTCCTGGCCTCCTCGCTAGCAGGAGAAACCCATAGGCAGTGAGGGACCAGCAGTTGGCGTAATGGCTACGTCGCTGGACTCCCACGTAGTCGACCGCGGTTCGCGTCTCGGACCCAGTGGCTTAAAACTCACTCCGGGCGCATGTGCGTGCGTGCCCAAGATCCCGAGAGGAGAATGGAGGAGAAGGGCTTGCGGTGTGACCATCCCCCCTGGGGGGTGATTTCTCACTTTCTGTCTCTCTGTCTCTCTCTGTCTGGTTGGCAAGCACGCATCCTATAGCAAAAACCTCTCCAGAAAAGAAAAGACAAGACAAGACAAGACAAGACAAGACAACAGCAGGCAGTGAGTACTGTGGAACAAAGAGGTGGTCACTTGGGGCAGGGCACAGAAGTGCCAGCTTCCTGACTTTCTAGGGAGCCCTTTCACTCCCCTTCTCCTGTCCCCTCGGTCCAGGAAAAAGGAGGGCCAAGCAGATGTCCTCTTCATTGACTTACATTTCCCTCTTTCGCCGCTGTAAGTTAATATGCCAGACCTATGGCGATTATCCACAACTCTCTAGAAAACAGTCTTTCCGGGGATGCAGGCCTCAAGCCTCCTGGCCAACCTGTGCTAAGCCGGCTACTGGAAGTAGGAGAGGGGATGTCTTCCATCTTTGGAAGCTGTGTTTGGGGGGCTCTTGGCAAAGTGTTTTGCCCTTGCAAACTTGGATAACACAGATTTCCTCTTAAGATGCAGGAAAATTCCCTGGGGGAGATACAGAGAGCTGATCTTGCGGTAGAGCAGAGACGTTTTTCTCACACCGCCTTCCGAAGACGTCCACAGCAGACGGCGCTCCCTTTTAAACTCTGACTGTGTCACGCGGAGACAGAAGAACGCTCACGTCTTAGATAAGCAGCTCAGCAAACATCTCTGCACATCCACAATGAGTCAACTCGTCATACAAGCCTGCTTGTTTTAAAGGTGGTTCGGCCTCTTTAAAGCAAACCGACCGCTCTCACAGCCTGCAGACAACTAGACAACAGAGAACATTTCAGCACAGAAGGCCAGAACATTCCCTAATGCTCTTTAAACTGTCTTCTAAAAGCACAGGAGAGAAGAAAATGCACTCGGGTTGCAAGCAGTTCCTGGGTTTTTGGCACTTTAAGAGAGCTGGTGTATACAGAGGCCATGTGACGGGTTAACAGGGAGTTTAGATCTCTACATTTCTCAGTTTTCCTTTGTTTGTTCTTTTTTTTTAAATATTCTTACCGGGTAGTGATTCATCCTGTTTCTACAAAAAGACACACAGTTCAATGATATTCTAACACGACAGCCACACTCTTACAAACCTTGCCTCCAGGATTTTGTGAGAATCACATGTGATCAAATGAGATGATGTCTGTGAAAGGCTTTTAAAAGCCCAGGGTACTCATCAGCCGGGAGGTGGTATTCCCATACCCGTGAGAGGTGGCAGGCCCTGAAATGGCTACAGTGTCCTAAGGGCGCCTGAAAATTTCCGCCCATTTTCCAGAAAGGAACTTAAAGTGCCATATCAGGGGGATGCACGTTTTAGAATATTCAAATCTCAACAGAAAAGAAAAAAAAAATACCCTCCCATCATGCTGGAATCTGGTAAAAAGCTAGAATCTTGGTGACTCATTGCTTCCCCAAGGTCCTTATTTGGTAGCAGGCAAATAAAAATGATCATTTTCAGATTTAGATTTTTCTCAAACTGTGGTGTGAGCAGCTATTTTTACTTCTGCTTCAGTCACCATTCTCTGTAGTAGAAAGTGGATTTAGAGTTGTAAAAGCTGTTTTTTTTTCTTTTCATTTGGAGCCTAAATTTAAATACAGAATACAGCAACTAAATCATATCTTTTGGTCAGATACAGGAGTTAGGATATTTAAATCCAGTATCCCATTTCCATACTTGGAAGGACTCCGCGTCACTAACTTCCCATGTTCCCAGAGACTTAGCACTTCACAAGGCTACGTTCACAGCACCTGTTTCCATAGTACCTCCCTATAGGGCACCACAAGTGATTGGCAGATATGCTGTAACCAAGTTTTTTTTTTTTTTGGAGAGGTTTTTGCTATACGGCGCGTGTGCTTGTCAGACAGACAGAGACAGAGAGACAGAAAGCGAGAAGTCACCCCCCGGGGGGTGGTCATGCCGCAATCCCTTCTCCATTCTCCTCTCGGGATCTTGGGCACGCACGCACACGCACCCGGCGTG